TTTTTGTTGGTGGCTATGATTCTGTATATGTTTGTATATTTTCTTTGGCCGGAAAAAAAAGAACAAAAAGGGTTTGATCTTGTTATTGTTCTATTTTGGGTTTTTGCCTCTGTATATCTTTTGGACGATGATCTCCCTCTTTTGTGAGCTGCGTTCTGCTTCTATATTGTGACCTTGAGCTTGCTCATTTTTCTGTACAAATTTGATTTTGTCTTGAGGGAGCTTGCCTTATCACTTTGATTTCTGACTTTGCTTGCTTGAGGTTGTACTTTTACTTGTGATAGATGCTAGCTTTTGTACTAGTTTCTTGTTGCTTTGGTGTTGGTTGTTGCTTTTTCTGTACAAGGTGTTGTACTTATAGCTGACTTTGCTTGCTTTAAGGTCGTACTTGCTGTATTAGTTTTGGTACTTTCTATACTTTTGATGGTTTACTAGACTGTGCTTGCTTGTGGGACGAGTTACTTTGATTTTCTATGAACCAAAGGCTTTGTATTTTGAGATGTTACAGTATAATTACTTGGCCTATGATTTTGATATTACTTCTCTGAGTTTTCATTGAAACAACCTGATTATGAGGCTTTTTGTTTGCTTGCTGGATTGGTATTTTTCTGTGATGCTAGTTATGACTTTTCTTGATTTCCTCTTTATCTTTTGTGAACCAAATATTGAGATTTGAAAAAGACTCCTTTCTAGCCAATGATGCAATTCCGACTTTGTGAAATAACATGTACGAGGCTTGATTTTTGGGCTTGAAATTCTGTTGAGCTGAATTATGTTGGACTTGAAATTCTATTTGCACCTTTTTGTCTATTGTGAATCAATTCCTTTGAGATTTGCGATAGAAACTTGGCTCATGATAAAACTGAAAATTTGAGGCCTTAGCACATAAACAAACTCTTTCTTTTTCTGATTCCAAAAACCACCCTAATGATGAATTTTAAATCAATTGTAATTTTGTCTATTTTGAATTTATTTGATCACTAATTCTTTCTTGATTTTGTTTCATGTATGATCGATGAGGAGTGGGCGAAGATGTCAAAGCATTGGAGAGGTGGTGAAGTCGTGGCTTGCTATAAGGACTTAGAGAGTTTAAAGACAAATAGAGTTTAGGACTTTAGGAATGTATTTTGAATAACTTGTAATAATTTGAAGAATGTATAATATTTGTGACTTTAGAATTTTTAACAATTTATGGGATGTATCTTGAACAATAATTTGAGGAATGTATGGTTTTGATTTGAGAATGGTAAGACAAATTGGTAGCAATTATTGAATTACATGAAAATTTGAAAAAGATGATGAAAAAAAATGATATGGGCTTTGAACCCTTGAGTTTGGAATTGGACCTTAAGAACTTTGAATGGCACACGATCAAAATGAAATTCTAATTTCCAATCTTAATCACAAACCTAAAAATTCTTGAATCTTTAACAATCCAAAACAAATCTTGAATGGTGTATTAGAATTGCTTTAAGAATGGGCCATGAAACAAAGTATAATTTCCATCTTTCTCAATTTCTCAAAATACCTTGAACTTGTTTGATCTTCAAATAAAAAAACCTAATCTTCCATAAGAATACTTGAACTTTAGGTTTTAGGATAAGATCAAATACAAACTTTGAATTTGAAAATTGTTCCAACATCTTGTAAACCTTGTGAAATCCCTAGATCAAAACCACTCTCAATGGTAAAATACCTTCCTAATTCCATGAATCAAATTCAGATAAAGAACTAACTGATTTACACTTGAGCGAAGATGAGAGGCATCAAAGCCATATAAACCCTAATTTTTGACCAATGACATCTGAGCTTAAACCTTAGCTCCATGAGGGAGAAACCCTTGAGCGGAGGTGAAAAGAAGATAAAGCTTTATGACTCTTGATCATCACATGTGTTACACACTCAGAAACTTTGAACATTTGCAAACTCGAATCCTTGGCGAATTAATGACATGTTCGGAGATCTGAAAAGTTTTGAACATTTGAGAAACCCTAGAAGAGAATTTTTTAGAGGAAAGGGAGGGAAAATTTTGGGGTACAACACAATCCAATTTTGTTAACCTAAATCAGTCTATTATAAGTACATAACATTGGAAAAGCATAAGGACAAGGGTTGGTCGTGTAAACTACAAGAACAAAAACTCAATTTTTGGACAAAAGGTGAGAATCAGATTTCGTTATACAGGAGATTCAAAGTGTTTCAAGGCCACCAATCCATTCCTGGCAATCTCCTGAAGCTAACAACATCATTTGCACGCGTCAAAACACCCAGAATCACTCCTTACAGATTCACGGTTTGCACACATATTCTTGAATTTGATTTTTACAATTCACGCATGATAAATGGTTTCTAAGTATATGTTCATGTTTGTATCATCCTTTGGAATTTGTTTTCATATTTAATTATGTGTTTTGATGCCTGTTGGATGAAACTCCATTGCTAGGGTTTATAAGGTCGTTTTAGGGATTTCAAATGCAGGAACAATTGGCTCTAAAGATGGACGCCATCATGATTAGAGGATCAAACCCAATTGATCCATGATTTTTAATCTAATTTATATTGCCTGAATATGATTTTTGAGATGCACAGGTTGTAGCTATGGCAAACGTCCGTAGGTAAAGGTCTTTACCTAAGACAACAGTCCCAACGAGGAAGATGAAGGTGTGGCAGACCCTGAATGGTCCATTTAAAAATTCACGCGTTTTTATAAGAAGCTAACTTTTCATTATTTATAATATATTATTTGCATTGATAGTAATGAATGAAGCAAATGGTTCAATGGCAAAGAGAGGAGGTTTCAGGACGTGCGTGTGTAGGAGGTCAAGGGTTCGATCCCTGCCTCCTACATAATATTTTTCTCAATGTTTAACTGCAGATCCAATGCGTCACACAACCCAAGCGCCTATCATGCACCTCAAGATCTCATGCCTTGGATCATCACATGGCCCATATCTAACGCTTCCAGGCTGCAGCTCATGATGGACATCCCTGGCATAATCACACCAAATCCAGCGCTGTGCTAGGCCATTGGATTGGGCTTTTTGGACAAAATTCAGCTTGCAACCCTTCAATCTGGGTTGCACCCCAACCAGGCCCACTATTTCTTTTTAATTTCTTTTATTTGTTTTAATTATTTGTTTAGTTATTTTTACAAAAACAAAAATCATTTTTTATTAAATCAAAAAATCACAGAAAATCACAAAAACATTAAAATCAGATTTTTCATAAAATATTTTATTTCATTAATTAATTAGATTAATTTAACTAGGGCAATTTAAATTCTTTTTTTCCATAATTAAAATCAATTAGAAAATTAGGGTTAATTTGCAAATATTTAACTTTCTCAATCAAAAAATAACAAAAATATTTTCTTTAATTTCCTTTGATTTTAGACTTTGATTCCCGTATTTAATTCGTCGCGCACACAATATTTTATTTTTAATTCTAATTATTGTATTTTCTTCGAGTTTGTAATAGATTTTAATTAGGGTTTATTTTACTGCTTATCATTTTATTGTTCAATCCCTAGTTTTTTGGTTATGTAACCCCCTCCCCGAAGCCTTGTAATAGTGTAGATTTACTTTTCCGCTTTTAATTTTCTGCAACTATAAACTGTTAGATTATTGATAATAGGGTTGTATGGAAGGATAACGATTAAATGAACATAGAAAACCCTAATTGTGCAAAGATAAGTAAACTGAAAAATAAACACTTGCACATGCTCACTCCTAGGGTTTGCCCCACTTCGGTTGCCTTCGGTAAACGATCATGAAGTATAGGGAGTCTTAGTGGTTGTCCTCTAGTCCCAAAAGATAAAAAATGACCCATTCGAATGTTACCTCGGAAAGATCTTTAGGACACTAGGGTAATTACTAAGGTTTCCTAACCATTGCTTTAGTGATCGTAATTGTCCCTTTCGTCCCTTACAATTGTCCCTTGAACTCCAACGACGGAGCTACCTACTCCTTAATAGTAGGATAACGCTATCTAAAGGAAATAAGAAAACGAACAGACTTTTTCGAGTAGGTAGAAACTTTTAGGTACTTGCTCAAAACAACATTTTTTACACTTACACTTTCAAACAAGCTTTTCAAACTAAAGTTTTCACAAACATTTTATTACACCCTTGAGGACTGATACAAGGGTTACCATAAAGTTAAACGCTGCACTAAGGCAAAATTTCAAAACTTTTTCAAAAACACAAACACACAAAAGCAATTTCAAAAATGAGCAAATACCTAAGAGCCTATGGAAAACCATGGATAGAAAGGGTTCTAACACCTTCCCTTTCTATAATCTCCCCCCCGTACTCAGAAATATCTCGAAAAAGGTTTTTTTTGTTCTTTTTCCTTTTCCTTTGTTGGATAAAATAAAAGTCAGTGGCGACTCTTGCTTACCGCGATATTTGCAAACAAAAAACGCAAACCAATATAATAGTCGGTTCTGCCACCGTATCACACCTTAGAATCGAATGAGGCTACAAGGGGATTTTTGCCTTGTGAATGCTAGCATGGCGGGAGCCTCTTGCACGCAAGAAAGAAGTTGTGACTCAATCGTAGGCTTGTATGTAACTATTCATCACTTTGTGAGTTAAAATAAACATGGAGGGGAATATTTGTCCAGTCAACACAGGCATGCAAGCATCAAACATCCAATCGAAGCAGACACATAGGCAACAATTGTATTGTGAACCATGTGAAGCCAAAGATGCAATCGAAGGTTGCATACAGAAAGCGCCTGCATTGTGAATCAAAGCCAGCGTGCCAGAAGCCAATGCCCAGTCGAAGGATGCAAGCCAAGCTTGCATCGATAGAGGCCAAAAGGCCAATCGAAGGACCTGAAACGAAAAAGACTTGTTTTTCTCCAATTTTGTCAAAAAGGTTATTTTTATCCGTTTTCCCCCTTTTTTAACAGTTTCCTTTTTAACTTGATACTGGAAAATCCAATTGTACTTGTGCAAGCTTGAATCTTTAAAATCCTTGTGAGAAATGGCTTGAGAAATGAGAGGGCAAATTTTGGGGTACAACACAATATTTTCCCTCTTCGGTGATAGGTTTGAGGAGACGGTTAAATTAGATAGGCCACCAAGATTTCAAGACCTTGACAATCCATATATTTACATTTTAGGTTTTTCTAGTGTTAATGGTATTATTTGTCTCTACAATGACGTTGACTACGATAATACAACAACTATGTTGTGGAACCCCGCCACCGGAGAATTCAAAACCATACCCCTTAGTCTTCAAGCATATGAAAACATTGAGTTTAACATTATTCCTGATGCATTTGGTTATGACTCTATTAGATACGACTATAAAGTGATTCATATGCTTCAATATCCCCATTGGTTGGATTTTTACACTCAAATGGTGTCGTTTGACTTTATCAATGAGAAATTCTTTGCAACAACTTTACCCTCACTTTCAGATCCATATGTTATATATAAATCGATCAGAAATGAGTTGATGATGTTAAATAGATCTGTTGCTTTAATTTGCAATTATGATTATATGAATTATTTTCACATATGGATTTTAGGAGAATTTGGTGTTAAAGAATCATGGACTAAACTCTTTGTTTTTGGAGCCTTAACTTGTGTTCACTTTCCTATTGGAGCATAGAAAAACAACGACATATACTTCAGAAAAAAATATGGTGACCTAGGATAATTTAATTTAAGTACACAAAAATTTGAGGAAATCAAACTACATATATAATAGAGTCTGATTTTTAAGGAAAATATTCTTTCAATACCCTATTTGGTGGGATAAAGCTTGAGTTCTGTTCTTTTGTTGTTGTCTTTCTTTCTATTGGAAGAAGGAATAAATAATTGTTGTTGTAATCTAATCTCAAAGCATTCAACCATGAATAAATAATTTTGAATATTTATTATAATATGAATGTTATAAAAAATTGGCTTGTCTTTCCAATTTTTATTGATTATCAAATAATGGTATTATTGTTTTAGTTTCTGTTTGAATTATATAAGTGATATTTTATCTTACCTAATGACATCTATTTTATGTGATTCAATTATTAAATGATCTTCAAGTGTGTGTTGAGTTTATTGTATGTGCATCATCATCTGGAATTATCTTATTGAGGTTCATATTATATGATCCCAATCACGAAGTATTTGTTATATGACACCGACGTTAGTCACTATCTAATTATTATACTCTGTAGATTTGTTACATTGGTTGAAAATTTCTAGTGATTGTTATACACTTATATACTATTGTAAGTTCCTTAGTTTTAAGGGTTGGCATGAATTTTTGTAAAACAAATAATACAACAATACGTTAGATAGGATGTTTTAACTTTCTAACAGAAACAGGTTGAGCAAGAATTCCTAGATTATGTTAGGACACGTTCAGTTGAAGTGTTTCAACATCTAAAACGACATGTCGGATAATATGTCCTATGAAGAAGCATATGACATCGTGCCTGAGCTGAAGTGGACAATTAGATTCTGTTATGATTTAACTGATTCAGAATATTTTGGGAAATATTATGCAATATTATATGACGTTGAATTAAAGGTCAAGAAGAATCTAATCAAAATATTGAAGAATGTACAGTTTCTAAATTTGGAGAAAATTTAGTAAGATTTGATTGAAGACCTTGTTTGTAGCAGAAGTTAATGTTGTTTGTTACACCTGATATGCTGAATTTTGAAGGCCCAAACCCAATTGTGTATAAGTTATAAATAAAAGTGTTTGTAACCTAAGAAAATCACGGGTTCAAGATGTAGAAGTCTATGGATCTGTCTTTTTGCCTCTCTTTGAGAGAGTTGGTGTAAGTGAACCACTCGGGTTATGAGATTGTCACTATTGTTCTCACTCAAAAGTTGTGAAGTAATAAGTTGAGTATTGTTCTTAGAGGAAGCTTTTAAGTAACTCCAAGTTGTGGTCCTAGTCAAGAGTCTTGGCTAGAGATTATCATGAAAGTGTGTCTTCCTGTTTGTTCAGAATTGTGTTGATCCAACTGTTCTGTGATTGAAGAGGGATTGCAGAAGGCCTCATATCTAGGTCAGTCTTAGATAGAAATATAAGAATGGTAGTGATTAAGACATTAGAACATAAACTGGAGGTTTTTTGTAGGGTCTATGAATTGATACTATCATAGTGGATTTGTCCTTGGCTTGGTATGCCCCCAGAGCAGAAGATTTGCTCTGAACTGGGTTAACAATTTTGGCGTCTTGTTTATGATTTTCAGTACTGCTTTTATTGTTAATACCTTGCCTGTTTGTTTATGTCAGATCAGATGTCCCAACATGTCATAAGACATCTGAGTTTTATCATAATAGAATTTCAATTGGTATCAGAGCATGCACCATGTCTGTTTCTAGATGAGATCTGAGGGTGATACTTTTTGGTTATGCGCAAGGTAGAAGGTTTCTACTAAAAAGTTGTATGAACTTGAAGAGTTAATATTGTTGTTTGAGCGGTCTCTAGAAGTGGAGGATGGACTATTCATGACAGGGTGTGCGTTGGACCTGTCTGTGTTGGTTTCAAGTGTGTAGCTTTGGTGGCAAGCTATTGTGGTAAGGGTTTGATTTATTTTCAAATCCAGGTTAACCTATTGTACCTGAAGGATGGTGTTGTGAAAGGGTTACTATTTTTGCCTGAAGGTGGTTAAGGAGTTTTCTGGTTTGTATTCTGCCGCATATATATCTGATGGAAAACTCCTGGTGGTTTTGTATGTTGAAGATGCAACACATTCTTCTCCTCTGAAGGCGTATTCCATGGTGTGGTGATAATTGAGGAGAGGTTTGACTAGCTTGCTAGAGTAGCCAAAGATACTTGAGGTTTATCCCAAGTCCACTCATAAAGGCACTCTTATATGAGCTTGTTAAAAAGAGATCTGGTAGAGGGAATTTACTTTTGCTTACAATCCTAAATGGCCAATCTCTAGGATTTGATAAAGGATCTCTTGATGTGTTCCTTGTGAAGGGGACTGATGTCCTACCAAATGTTGGAACATCATGCTAACAGATTATGCAGAATCTTGTTGGATAAAGGTAGAGGATAATAAATGCTTGGGGGCTAAACATGTGTTGAACACATATGTTTGGAACCTACTTCTGATCTGGAAGAGGAGGCATCTGTGTCTAAGAAGTTTTTTTTGCTAGAAACATGTCTTAGATAAGTATGTTGTTCAAGACACAGTCAACATATTTGGCACTCTTTAGATTAGTTAATTTCTAATCTAAGTGAGTTGGTGAGAAGTGGCTGTGCTTTGTTATGGGAGCTTGATAAAGTTATCTAATCTGGATACTTTATATGCAGAGGACAAGTGATAGTGTCAAGAAATTTCTCTCTAACATCTAGAAGATCCTTCTGATCAAAGGAGACAAATTTATGAATCTTGTTTATGGACGTGAAACAGATTCTGGTTGAGGGAAGTAATGCACTAACGACAAGGTGTGAAACTATTGTATGATTCTCAAGAAATTCTTAGCAGTTAATAAGGGAGAGTCCTTAATCTAAAGCTAGAAGATCTTGAAGAAATGTCAGACATAATGTCTTGACATCCTTGGATTGAGAATTTATTTTTCTCAAAATGAGTGGAAATCTCGTTAATAGGATAAAGATTATTTACTCTAACTTGACATCTCTTGTCATGTCTGTGAGAGCATAGAACTCCTGTTCTATTGAAAAGTCATCCAAGGGCTGGGTGCATTGGAGTTGTTTCAACCTGCGTTAAGAGGTTGATTGTTATATGCACTTTGGAAATGTCATCCAAATCACCTAGGATGGGTATTTCAGTTGTTTGAAGCAAGGAGGAGTTATGGGATGTTCCTCTCTCTGCTAGGGTTCAATTATGCGGTCTCCTCACATAATGGAACATATGAGTCTGCAAGGATTAAAGGGAATCCCTGTGTATTGGGATAAGCAGACTTAGTCTGAACAGTTTGCTTGTTGTGTAACATGATCATACATTACCATGGTTTTTGAAGTCTACTCCAGATACCTGTTAGAGGGAATCTCCTCTTTAGGTGCAGAAGAATGGCATCCAACATCTCAAAGTCAGACAAGAGGTATAACGTTCAGAAGTTTAAGAAGAAGATTATTGATATGTGTAATATGCAGGTTTCTGCATGTATGTATGATCCGGTGTGGAAAGTTGATCAGCTACTGATGATTAATCCTCTTGTATCCCTTGCAAGAGTTATGGATTACTATGGTATCTCTAGACCATAATTAATAGGTAAAATCCATATGTTTGAGACTGATGTCAGATCTGATGTTGGAACATCGTCTCAATGTGTGTTTTATTCCTTCAACCAAGGAAGTTATTGTTATCTAGAGTGGAGCTAAGGTCAACCACTGGCCTAATCTGGAATATTTTATGACATGAATGAATGTTATCATCTGGTTCCAGACGTATGCGGAAGAATGATGTTAGACCAAATGTCCTACCTTGTGTGAGAAGACAATCTTATCTGACCTATAATGAGTACTTTGACGGGAGCTGAGTACTTGTTTGTCCTCTAAGTAGGTTATGCATAAGACTAATGGTGAATAATTTGATGGGAGACTAAGTATTTGTTTGAAGAGTTATGCAATTCTGCATTCTAAACATTGTGTTTCAGAGAGTATGTGAGAGTTTATTTCTCTCTATAGCATTCAGGTGTCTGGAAGAACTTGGATGAGTTGCACTAGCTGTGTTATACTGGGAGCTTCTTAAAGGATTTCTCTGAAAAATGAGTCCTTTAAATAATATATCAAGAACCAGTTTTATTGGGTTCTATATTATGGAGCTGATGTCCCACATGATGTCTTAACATCATGATTGTTAATGGTTGTTTTATTTAAATGCTTGGTGTTGTACCCCAAAATTTGCCCTCTCATATTTCTCAAAACATTGCAAGAAAAATCTCCAAGTGGCTCAAGATTTCTCAAGAGTGAGACAGTCAAGCTATCTCCTAAGGCAGTCAACCCCAAATTAGGGTTTTGTGTTGAATCAATATATTTGAGTCCAAATGACCTCAAGTGCTCCCCAATGTCCTAATATGTTCTCAAGATCATCCATGTCAAATTTCAAGCCTTGCAGAGGAAGTTTGCTCAGTCAATTGCTCAAAGGGTCCAAAAATCGACTGTGCTAGGGCAAAAGTCAACTGTGACCTGAATACAGTCAAACTTCAAGATTTTTTTGTCAACATTCTCATTTTGAAGGATATTTCATCATTTTATCAAGGGTTGATCATTATTCATCAAGGATTGCTCAAAATTCATCAAGACTCAAAAGTTGCTAAATTAGGGTTTTGCAGGAAAAGTCAACTCAACTTTGACCAAGCATAACTTTCTCATACTTTATGAGAAATGACTCATCCAAAGCTCATTTTGAATAGGATGCAATTTCCTACAATCCATAGTCATACCCCAAGATCAGAAAATGCACTCACAAGAAGTTATAAATTTGGACATTATAGGTCATTTTTTAAAGTCAACAAAAACACCTTTTTTGCCAAAGCTTATAACTTGAGCATGGAATATCAAAATGAGATGAGACCAAAAGGGTTGGTTATAGGGCACCTAAAGATTTCTAAAAACTCCAATAACACTTCCAAAAGTTCAAAATTGAAGAAGTTATGCATTGTTGAAGTTGGGCATTT